GGATTCGAACCCGCCACCTTAGGTGTACGTGGCTGGCGCCTTAGCCGCTTGAGCCACAGGTGCCGAGTCAAGCTTTTTTATTATTTATTTATTTATTTTTGAGACAGGGCCTCAAGCTGTCCCCCTGGGTAGAGTGCTGTGGCATGACAGCTCACAGCAACCTCCAACTCCTGGGCTCAAGCAAGTCCCCTGCCTCCCAAGTTGCTGGGACCACAGGTGCCCATCACAACGCCTGGCTATTTTTTTTGGTTGCAGCCGTCATTGTTGTTTGGCGGGTCTGGGGTGGATTCGAACCCGCCACCTTAGGTGTATGTGGCTGGTGCCTTAGCCACTTGAGCCACAGGCACCAGCCAGCTTTTTTATTTTTAATAGAGACAACAGGGGTGGGGAATAGGGGCTCAGGGGTGTTTCTTTGCTGAGGCTGGTCTCAAACTCCCGACTCCAGGCAATCCATCTGCCCCTGCCTCCCATAGTCCTAGGATTACAGGTGTGAGCCACCATACCCAGTCAAAAATAAATAAAATTTTTAAAAAGATATGTTTTTGAACCTTATCTATTAAGTGATAGGTAAGTGTGATATATCAATTGCACAATAGAGATGCCAAACAAACAGCAGGATATGTAAGTCTTGCCATTTTAGAAAGTAGGTCAGGTCTGGAGATAGGAATCTCGGAGTCACACACACATAACAGGTATTTAAAGCCACAGGAGAAGACAAGATCGCCCATGGCACAAATGTAGAGGAGAGGTCCAAAGGACTGAACTCTAGGCCACTCAAGATTACAGGTTATAGAGATGAGAAAGAAGCAGCAAAAGAAACCAGAAAGGAATGGCTAGGGACTTAATAGGAAAACCAGGAGAGAGAGGTGTCCTCAGAGTCAAGAGAAGAAAGTGTTTCCCAGAGGAGGGAGTCAATAACTAGGTCAAATGCTGCTGAAATGTCTAGCAAAATATAGTATGAGCTTATCACTGGATTTAACGATGTGGAGGCCATTGGTGACCTTCATATGAGTAGTATGGGGGATGATAGAGTCAAGAACCTGATTTGAAATAGGTTTAAGGAAGAGTAGAAGAAAAGCTGGAGTGTAAGAAACATTTTTGTAAACTAAAATAAAATCTTAAATCCTCCAGCTGAGTGAATAGACCCCGTTCTTGTCCCAGAGGACCGCAGAAATACCCTAATGCTGAGTCACACTGGTCATGGGAAGGGAGGTCGCATAAGACTCTCTTTGCCCCCTTCTCTTCTTGGAGATATTCTTTGCTAACTCACTAATAGGCTTGGGACTGTGCAAAACTTAAACCACACCTGCATTAATTTACTTAACAGGTCACTTGAGTCTGCGTTAAATGTGTGGTGGCTTGTCTCCAATTAACAGACTTCCTTAACTTAAAACATTCCAAAACCTTTAGGCAAAGCTTCATTTCTTTAGCCAATCACAAATCAAAGAACCTTTAAACACATCTACAACCAGTAACGCCCACTTCAAGATATCCTGTCTTTTTGCCAAACCAATATGCACCTTCCATGTATTGAGTATGTATGATTTCATGTGTAATTCCTATCTCCCTGAAATGTATAAAACCACAAACTGTAACCCAAACACACTGACACCATTGCTCAAATTTGGCTCAGAATAAACCTCTTTAAACTATCTTCCAGGGTTTGGATTCCTTTTCTGTTGACATTTTCTAAGAGTTTTGCAAAGGGTAGCAGAGAAATGGGACAGTGGCTGGAGTGGAATGTGGGAATCAACAGAGAGTTTGTTAAACTTCGGAGAAATTACAACATATTTGAATGCTGTTGAGAATGATCCTGTAGAGACTGAAAATTCATGATACAGGAGCAGTATACCCCCCAAGATTGAGAATGTTTTGGTTTTTTTTGAGACAGAGCCTCAAGCTGTCCCCCTGGGTAGAGTGCCGTGGCATCCCATCTCACAGCAACCTCCAACTCCTGGGCTCAAGCGAGTCTCCTGCCTCTGCCTCCCAAGTAGCTGGGACCATAGGTGCCCACCACAACGCCTGGCTATTTTTTGGTTGCAGCCATCATTGTTGTTTGGCGGGCCTGGGCTGGTTTCGAACCCACCACCTTAGGTGTACATGGCTGGTGCCTTAGCCACTTGAGCCACAGGTGCCGAGCCGAGGTACTGACTTTCAACAAGAACCCACTGTAATTTCAGTACTTTTCTGGTGGGTTAAAGCTAATTCTCTTCCTCTGTAGGAGTGCAGAGAATAGAACAGAT